CAATGTTTGGTGTCTTCCTTGGTTGTGGTTCACCTTATCTTTTGAGACAGGATCTCCTATTGAATCAGGAGCTCATTGGCTGGCTAGGCTGTCTCCAGCTGCCCAGGGCTGCTGCTCCTGTTTTGCCATGGATGCTGGGGATTGAACTCTGGTCCTCATACTTCTGTGGGGGGGCATTTTACCTCCTGAATCAATCTCCCCAGTCCTTTGTTTCCCACAATACAGTGTTTGTCTTTTAAGAAGGAAGTTTATTATCTGTACTATGAGTGCTTGTGGATCTTTGTGCTAATCACCACCTACTTCAAATAGAGTTTATCTGATGAGGATGGGGAAATGTATCAATGTGTAGTGGAACAAGAAGTCACTAGAGTTGGTTCTATGTCCATTTAGCAGAATAATAGTTCTTCCCTAAAGCCCATGACTGGAGTAGCCACAGGTCCTAGGCCTGATAATGGATCCAGGTAAGGGCTTCATCTTGTGGAGTAGGACTTAAGTCCACCCGGAAAGTAGATCATTGTTCCCATGATATTCATTCCACAGTTGTACCAGTGGGCATGTCCTGCCAGGCCAGTCATTACTGTAGTACTCAGGCTTCACAGATGGGGAGACCGATGATTACTTTTCTCGTCGGGTAGCACGCATGGGCCCACAACCAGTCAAGGCACAGAGAACACGGGACTGAAATAGTCAGCCCCAAATTGGGCATCTAGATCACACCGTCTTCTTCAAAGGGTCAAGGATCACGACGCAAGAGCGGGCAGGAAGAGGGTGAGAGTCAGCGCTGGTGGATGACTACAGGGAGGCTGTTCTCGGGACACAGCAGAGCAGCAGCACACAGGAAGTCAAAGCATTTGTGACAACGTGCTCAAGACCTGTGCAAGCTCAGGACAGAAAATCCCAGCATGGAGTGTGGGTGTGGGAATGAATCTCACCCCTAGCTGAGGTGCTATTGGCAGTTGATAGCTCTTGGGAGAAGTCCGTTTTCTCTGAGAGTGTTACCCCAGGTAGGTCCACCACACTTCAGTGGAAGGCCACCTGTCCAAGAATATACAGGCAGCACTAATTGGGCTGATGAGTTTTTTAAAAAGACACAAAATAGGGTAGATAGGGGAAGGAGGATCTGGGGAAGTTGAGAAAGGCGGGTAATCAAAACACATTGTAGAAAATTCTCTAATAACTAATAAAAACGAGGGAAATTAATAAAAAGAAGAAAATTTAAATATGTGTCCTTATTTTAATACACTTGCACTTGTACCTGCTATACCAAGCAACTCCTAACTCTGGCCAATGAGAACCAAAAGAAAGGCTTCTGGACACATAAAGTGAGAAGACAGCTTCAAGGGCACGGTGGGATCTGTTCCCTAGAGTACCACAGCACTGACTTCTGTCCGGCATGCCTTTGCCAATGTGACTAAGTGCTCCTTCCATTGTACCTGGGAGGATTTGACAATGGTAGGATTCAAGCCACATGACATCTAAGACTCAGTCACAAGAGAGAATACAATCTCCCTGGTTCTCATCAGATGCCTTTGCACTGCAGCTACTGTGTCTGGGAGATCCCTGACATTCCCCAGAAAAAAAGACTCACCAGCAGAGGAAACAGACCTCCCAACCATCATCCCTGACTGGATAACCTGATAGCCTAGTGTCAGACTGAGAAGCAAGTGAATGAGCCAGGTTATAAACAGGCCCTCCAGCGCCCCTAGAATGAATGAACTTCCTCTCCAGTCCTTACTCAGGTTGTAGGTTAATCTTCAGGGTCAGCTCAACTAGACTTAGAATCACCTAGGAGATACATTCCCTAGAAGGGTGTTTCCAGAGATGTTTAACTGAGGGTGTAAGATGCACCCTAAACATGAGTGGCACCATCCCGTGGGCTGGGGTCCCAGCTTGTACTAAAAAAAAAAGAAGTCAAAGCAAACTGAGCACCAACATTCCTCTCTCTCCACGTCACACTTTAGACAAGCCTAACCGTACCCTCAACACTGCGACTGCCACACATTTCCTGCTGTGATAGACTGTACCTCAAACTGGAATCCAAAATAAATCTGTCTTTGGCTGCTTTTGTTAGGTATTTCGTCATAACAACAAGACAAGGAACTGTCTTTAGTGGAATAATCGTCACTGTTTGAAGTCTGACTTTTGAGGTGGTTTGCTATATAGTAATACATAGTTAGGACAGAAAAGCATGCCTGCCAGGAGCAGGAAGCAGGACTTCCCATTCTGAGGGGATGGGAGGCTCTTCCTCGGAGGCACCTGATGTGTGCGAGGCTCTGGGACAATAAACTCTAGCCACTTCAGTTTGCTGCGTTTCTTCAACTTCAGAATCAGTGATGGGGCGTCCACTGTCTCAGCATCAGATACCTCCTCAGCCAATGATCAGAACGCTGAGTAACAACCCCAGTTTATCTGCCTCCAAAGGGAAAGAGGCAATTGCTCTAAAGGGTATGTGAATGAAGGAAGTGTATTGGTTTTTATAATCTCAGTTGTAACAGCGCTTCAAACTGCAGTGGCTTTAAGAAACACAGACAGGACTTCTTTAGTACACGCATTAGTTGTTCTTCTCATTTCTGTGACAAAACATTTCACAAACGCAGCATCAAGGAGGAAGGATCTATTTAGGCTCATGGTTTGAGGGCACAATAAATATGATGGAGAAAGAGGCAGCGTGGCTGGTCATACCACATCTGCATCAGGAAACGGAGGGACGTAAGTGCTGTGCTGGCTGGCTGGCTGGCTTTCTCCTGTCGTCTCTTTTCTCAGGGTAGAGTTCATTTGTTCAAAATGGTTTCACTGTGAGCAGGAACACATGTGTTTCTGTTTCTTTGGGGAACTTGGTTCCTCTCTCTTTCTCAGCTTGAGGCCTTTTGCATTCCTGGGCTTGGGCCCCTCTTCCTTCACTTTTAAAGTTTGCATTTCCTTGTTTCTTTATGTGTCACATGGAACGGGAGGTGGAGATTTCTGTCCTGCCCATCCCTCCCCCACCCCCATCATACCTACCAGTTGCTTCCCTAATTACCACACAGAGGCTTATATTAATTATAAATGCTTGGCCAGTGGCTCAGGCTTATTATTAACTAGCTCTTACATTTAAAGTAACCCATATTTCTTATCTAAGCTTTGCCACATGGTTAGTGGCTTATTACCCTATTTTCTACATGCCTTGCTTCCTTGGCAGCTGGCTGGCAGGCATCTGCTGACTCCGCCCTTCCTCTTCCCTGTGTCAGGCTGTCTTGACCAATTTCTTCCTGCCCAGCTATTGGCCAATCAGCCTTTTATTTATTTATTTATTTATTTGTTTGTTTGTTTGTTTTGGTTTTGGTTTTTTTTTTTTTTTTTTTTTTTTTTTTTCCGAGACAGGGTTTCTCTGTGTAGCTTTGCGCCTTTCCTGGATCTCGCGCTGTAGACCAGGCCGGCCTCGAACTCACAGAGATCCGCCTGCCTCTGCCTCCCGAGTGCTGGGATTAAAGGCGTGCGCCACCACCGCCTGGCCAGGTTTTGGTTTTTTTGAGACAGAGTTTCTCCTTGTAGTTTTGGTGCCTGTCCTGGATCTCACTCGGTAGACCAGGTTGGCCTCGAACTCGCAGAGATCCGCCTGCCTCTGCCTCCCGAGTGCTGGGATTAAAGGCGTGCGCCACCACCGCCCGGCTCAATCAGCTTTTTATTAACAACGAGAGCAATGCACATTTACAGTGTGCAAAGATTGTTCCACAGCGGTCCGTCTTTTTCTAGATCCCTTTCTGTCTCTCATTTTCACTCTAAAGGAAGGTCGTGATTACTTTGGGTCCATTCTGATAACTAGGAACATCTCTCTACCTCAGATTTGGGAACTTAATCACACCTGTGAAGGCCTCTGACTTTTAGGTAACATAATCACTGGTGACAGGACAAGTGTGAACAGTGTGAGGACTATTGTCCTGCCCACTGTAGCAGAAAAAAGTAGAGCAGATGCTCTGGGGATTTAACTACCTAAAAACATGGCTGTCTTATAATAAAAAAAACCCCGGTGCCCAATATTAGGGTAAATGCTGAAAGATCAGAGAGACAAAGGAAGAAGCCACAGCCACGTCTCACCTCACCAACTCCACAAATCCTCAGACTAAATGTCTCTGAGTCCTCAGCTAAAAGGGGTCTAGTTGAAAAGGCTTCCAGCATAAAAGGCTTATGCTAAAAAGCTTTAGTTCCTCTCTCCTCACACCTTATAGGCCTTTCTCTGCCCAGCCATATTCCTTCCTAGTACTGGGATTAAAGGCATATGATTCCCAAGTACTGGGATTAAAGTTGTGTGCCACCACTGTCTGGCTCTGTTTCTCTCCTAGACGGAATCAATCTCATGTAGTCCAAGCTGACTTTGAACTCACAGAGATCAGATCTCTGCCTCCCAAGTGCTAGGATTAAAGGTGTGTGCCACCACCAGCAGGCTTTATGTTTAATCTAGTGGCTTGTTCTGTCCTCTGATCTTCAGGCAAATTTTATTAGGGTACACAACGTTTCATCACACATGGCGGTATTTACAGTACTCATTCTGCTTTATGTTTTTATTTTATTCTTTTATGAAACTTTCTGTTTCCTGTTTTTTCCATTAAAATAGATTGCCCATAAACATTCCATTTATATTCATTTATATGGGGACCATTACAGATACTATGCACCATCAGCGTGTATTTCCGTATTTAGAGATGATACTATTTATAATCTTGAGACAAGACGAAAGTCTTGTTTTGCTTTTTTTCTCCTTTCTCTTTTACTATCATATTATCATTGTCTGTAGTTGCTCTTTCTCTTTAATGCTTGAATCAGCATGATGAGGAATTAAAAGATATGGGTTGACAAGATGGCTCAGTGGGTAAAGGTCCTTGTCACCAAGCCCCATGACCCTGAGTTTAATCCTGGGTCCCCCATGGTAGAAGATGAGAACCAAATACTTCAAGCTGCCCCCTGACCTCTACATGTACACTATGACCCACACATATACACATACATATAAGTAACACATATAATTGAAATTTTTTAAATTTTTGATTTTTATTTTTGTGTAACAGGGAGGATTTGGCTACAAATAACTAAACCAACACATGTTTCAAAAACAGGAACAATATAATCCACAAAAAGAAATTCAGACAGGTTGTTCCAGGTGGGTGAACTGAGTGGATCTGTGACATCACACAAAGGCCCAGTGCTCTGCATTTTTGTTTGTTTGTTTGTTTGTTTTCTTAAGCTCTGTCCTGCTGGGAAAAAGACTTCTGTAAGTTCAATGACAATATCTTCATACAACCCTGTCTGAGGATAACACATTAGTTCTCCCTCGGGCAAATCAAATGTCTCGAAACAATAGCACATTTTATCTTTTGTGCTTTTGCATTATCAGGGGTTTGGGAGCAGGCTGGCAGGCTGGCTACAGCTCAGGGTCTTTCCTGAGACTTGCCATGAGAATGAACGGTGAGTGCCAACACCTTTGGCCTTGACTCAGGGTGGAGGTCAAGTTCAAGATGATGCATTCACATGGCTAGCAAAATGCATGAGTGTCAGCAGGGTACGGTGGCCAGCTTCCTCTAGAACAGTGTGGGTCACTGGGGGTGATTTCTATTCATCAGGGGACCCTCTATGTTTTTTGGTTCTCACAATTGGGAAGGTGCCACTGATTTTTACTGGGTCAGATAAACAATTCTGGTGACTCTCCCGTACTGTCCAGGAAAGCCTCCTCCCACAACACACAACACCAGGCCCCAAATGTCAGCAGTGCTAACGCTGAGAAACTGTGTTACAGAACAAGTAATTTGAGAACAAGCTAAAAGTTGGGCATATCTTTTATTTCCTGGCTTTGGAAGGCTTCTATGGTCTGTCTTGGAAGGATTCATGGGAAAGTGTGACTAATAGGAGACTCGGAGCACTGGGAGCCATCTTGGGGTGGATACCACCACAGCAAGCTTCTCTTGAGTGTCAGTTACCTTCCCTTGTTCTCCCCATGTGCTCTCTTGTCATTTTGTCTTTAAAAAGATTTATTCATTTTTATTTTATCTATGTAGATGTTTTGCCTGCATTCATGTCTTTGTACCACAAGCAAGCATGTCTGGTGTCCCCAAGGGGAGAAAAGGACATTGGATCCCCTGGAACTGGAGTTACAGACTGTTGTTAGTTGCCATGGAGATGCTGGGGTCCTCTGGAAGAGCAGTCAGCGCTCTTAAACTCTGGTCCATCTCTTCAGATTCTTGCTATAATTTTCCAAGAGGAAACCATCCCTATGACTCCCCACAGGCTTCACCTCTCCTTATCCAGTGTTCTGGGATAAGCATATGTTTAGATCAAACATAAAGAGAGAGAATAGTCTTTCTGGGTTGAGCTTGGGTCTTTGGAGCTGGGGAGAGCTTGTAAAAACATTGAGAGTAAATTTTCAAAATCAGTTTATCAATAATGAAGGAAGAGAAGAGTTTTGAGTGGGCAACAGAGTTGTCTGGATTAGGGTAGCTCAGTGGTAGAGCAATTGTCTAGGATGTGTGATGCTCCAGGTTCCTTTATGAGCCACTTCCCAAGTTTCCTTGTGTTGCTGTGATAAAATACCCTGGAAACAAGCAACTTAGGGGAAAAATGGTTTATTTTAGCTCACAGTTCCAGAGTATAGTAAAGAGGCCACAGCAGTAGAGCTTGAAGCAGCTGGACATGTCATATTCATAGTTAAGAGCAGATAGAGATGAATGCAACCATGTTTACTTATGCTTACAAAATTCAGAATTCTCTGTCACCCTTAATGGACTAACTAGATCTTTCTACATTTATTAAGGGAATAAAAACATTCCTTACAGGCATGACTAAAGGTCAAACTGATCTAGGCATCTATCATTTAGTCTCTCTCTCTCTCTCTCTCTCTCTCTCTCTCTCTCTCTCTCTCTCTCTCACACACACACACACACACACACACACACACACACACACACACACACATACACCACACATGCACACACTCATATACACACATACATACACATGTGTTGCTTTTCTTATCCCTGTCTTTTGTATCACATATCTTTTTTAAAGATCTTTTTTTGTTCTCTTTGGTGGAACACATTTTCTAACAGTAACTTCAAGAATGATCATTTTCCTAGTTAATTTCAGCTATGAACTTGACACAGCCCAGAGTAAATCTAAGGGAGTTTCAGCTGAAGGGTAGCCTGGGTCATATTGGGCTATGGGTGTATCTGTAGGGAGTGTGTGTGTGTGTGTGTGTGTGTGTGTGTGTGTGTGTGATTGATTGGTATGAGAGGGCTCTGGCCACAGTGAGTGCCACCATTCCTAGGCAGCTAACCTGGGCTGTATAAGAAAGTTAAATGAGCAAACTAAAGGGAGCAAGGCAGTCAGCAGCATTCCTCCATGGTCTCTGCTTGATCTCCCTTAGTGATGGACTGTTATCTGGAAGTATAAAATGAAAAATATCTTTCCCTCCCCAAGTCACTTTTGGTCGTAGTGTTTATCACAGAAAGGCAAAGCAGACTGGAAGAGTTAGTCCTCTGAATCCTTATCCACCTGAAAATGCCACCTGTTTTGTGCTCCCAGTCAAGTAGAGTTAGGTAAAGCATTATAGTTTAAAGCATCTCCCTTAGGACCCCTGGCTCTGGCTACCTCCGTGCTGGTGAGAAGTAGACGGCCCAGTTAGCAGTCCTGTGGCTTTCATGCTCTGGAATTCTACAATGATGTGTTTGAGGGTGACATTCTGTTATGCTTTTTGTTGGGTACCAAGCAAGAACTTTCAAACAAAGACACTGGAACGACTTCTACTGTGTTTTACTCTTTATTTCCTTCCGTATCTGACACACATCTCCTGTTAGATGCATATTGGAACTTCTGGATGTGTCTCCATGTTGCTTAGGCTTTCTGCTGTTGCAACAACGGCAAAACAAAAGCAAATGGACAGACAACCTGGGCCTGCTCTCCTGTCAATCATATACAGACAACCTGGGCCTACTCTCCTGTCATATACAGACAACCTGGGCCTGCTCTCCTGTCATATACAGACAACCTGGGCCTACTCTCCTGTCATATACAGACAACCTGGGCCTACTCTCCTGTCATATACAGACAACCTGGGCTTACTCTCCTGTCATATACGTTTAGCCCTCCCTTAGTGTCAGTGTCACATGGTGGTGAAGAGCCTGAGTTCAAACCCTGGCCCAGCCTCTTATGATTGTGCTGCTCTGGGTAAAATTAAACCTCTCTGTTCTTCTGTTAGTCTCATGCAAAATCAATATGCTAATAATATTGGCTACTTCGTTAGGCAATAAGTATTAAATATGTAAATACCTGAATGTTTTCTCAGTCCATTTTGACTACCAAAATAAACTGCCTCAGAGTAGGTCATTTTAGATACAACAGAAATGTATTGCTTATGTGCAAAGGCCGGAAAGTCCAAAACAAGGCACCAGCACTAGAGTCTGTTAAAACTGCTCCTAGAGAGGATGTCTTTGTGTCCTCAAGGGCACAAGGGCACTGCTGACATTCACAGGGCTCTGCCTTCATGTTCTCATCACTTTCCAAGGGCACTGACTCTTCACACCATCACTGTTGAGCTCATTCTTCAACATTTAATATTAAGGGTTCCACAAATATTCAGACCACAGCAAATGCTTAGAAGAATATGTATGATTTATTATATTGATAATGAAATTATTATCTTAATCCACACAATTTTATTAACAATTACTTTTTCAATCTACTATGTTTTTATCTCAATATAGTCTTTTAAACATTTTTTAGGTGTTTGTGTGTGTGTGCATGTGAAGCACAGAGGTCAACATGGGATGCATTTCTCAATCACTCTCCACCTGATTTTTTGAGCCAGGGTCTTTCCTTGCTCCTGGTGTTTGCTGATTCAGCTAGACTAACTGGCCAGTGCGTCCCAGAGATGCACTTCCCCAGCACTGGGACTGCGGTATGTTGCTGCAGTAGGCCGTTTGCATGTGGGTACTAGAATTCAAATGCATGTTCTCAGGTTCCTGCAGCAAGCAGTGCATGTAACTAGAGTTTTCCTGCCTGGCCCACGGTCAGGGCAAATCTCTCTCACCTGCCAGTCCCACAGCCACTCAGACCCGACCAAGTAAACACAGAGACTTATATTGGTTACAAACTGTATGGCCGTGGCAGGCTTCTTGCTAACTGTTCTTACAGCTTAAATTAATCCATTTCTATAAATCTATACCTTGCCACGTGGCTCGTGGCTTACCGGCATCTTCACATGCTGCTTGTCCTGGTGGCGGCTGGCAGTGTCTCTCTGACTCAGCCTTCCACTTCCCAGCTTTATTCTCCTCCTTGTCCCGCCTACACTTCCTGCCTAGCCAATGGTCAATCAGTGTTTTATTTATTGACTAATCAGCAACACACTTGACATACAGACCATCCCACAGCACTTCCCCTTTTCTTTTTTCTTTCTTTCTTTTTTTTTTTTTTTTAGTGCACCAGTTGGGCCATCTTCCTAGCACCCATAAAACATGATTAAATAATCCTCAAATTAGTTTTGCAAAAACATCATGTTTTATGAATGCACATCCTGGATTATGCCTGGATTTAAAAGTGCACATTATAAGACTTTCTTGGTGTATTATCTTGGGTCTTGATTCAGTTTGCAGATTGAAGGCAGTGTCTTTCTTCTCTAGTAATATATTCCTGTGAACCATTGGTGACTGGGAGGTTGCCCACGTGTGCTCATCCTTGTGTTCAGAACTCTCACTTGCTTATATGTGGTGCTGTTCTGATTGTTTGCTTTGCTGTGTGTGGTAGAAAGAGAACTCTACAGGGCTTGGGGGACGCAGGCAGGTTGGGGTGGACTTGTGTGTCCCTGTTTCTTCCAGTAATTGGGACCAGCACCCAGAGCCAGCTTGCCTCGCTGGTCTGAGCACCTATGCTCAGCGCTGAAGCCGAGGGAGGAGTGTGCGCTGCTGGGTCCCCTGCTATCACTGTGTGTCTGGAATAATCTCATCCTTGACTGCCTACAAGCTTGCTTGTCTCTGTGCGGGGAGGGAGGGCTTCATGTGACCCAGGCTCTTCAGGGCCTCATATGCTTTTTCACAGAATGATCTCCATGAACGGATCAGTGAATCAATGTTGTCCCTGGTCACTCACCACAATAGTCATGCCTGTCCATGGAGCCTCAGTCTACCCAAATCTCACTCATACAGATGGCTGCTTCACAGCCATCCAGTCTTGCTGACTGAGGTCATCCAGACAGTGCTCTGGATAAGTGGCCAGTTGATGCTGCTTGTTTTAGAATCTTAATGTATGTTTAAAAATATTTTTCTGAGCTAGACATGATGGCTCAGCACTTGGGAGGACCAAGAGTTCAAGGTCATCTTCAGCTATGTAGTGAGTTAGGAGCAAACCTGGGCTACATTTGCAACCCTACACATGTTATTTCTGATTTCCACATTGTGATTTGAGTTGGCACATGATGTGTTACCAAGCAACACTGAACGTAACAGGGAGAAGATGACCTCCTTTGACTTCTCTCTTTTTGAAATACAACAATATTTCAAATATGTAAACATAACAAAAACAATACAATGAATGCCCATCACTTGCAATCCATATTTAACAATTCCAAGCATCTAACAGTACTTGCTTCAGCTTTTAAAAACAAATCAAGCCTGGTAGCTACCACCGTGCTTCCGTGCCTTCCACCATTTCCTCTTCCTCCTCCTCACTGGCCAGTTGGTCTGTGTCCTTCCCGCCTGGGCTGTTGTTATCCCATGTTACTCCACAGATAAACAGCAGCCCGGCGTGCTTTCCGGGCTCTTCACGTAGGCCTGAATGGCTCCCCCAGTCCCTCAGACCTGTCAGGAGTAAATGGCGCCTGGTCAGATGCTGACGCCCGTGTCACTTGCTTTCCCCTGCCCGTTATCATGCCGTATCTAAAACCGTCTTAGTTGCTGGCCCCTCGCTCCATGCTTCTTGTCTGCCTTTGTGAGGCGGGGCTTTCATGTTACCCAGGCTGTTCTGGAAGAAACCCAGAGTCTGGAGGAAGATATAGTCAACCAAGACGTAATGGTAGAGATTTCATTTCCATTTTATTTAATTGCATGATTTCCTTTCTATAAGAGCAGGTATGTTTAGTGTTATGGAGTATTCACCAGAGAAGACAGCTTGGACACGGGTTAAGCCAATAGAAAGTCTTTATTATCCAGCCAGCAACTACACTGGGTGTTCAGGATCCCAGTATAGCCCTAAGCCTTTCTTGGGGTGAGATTTTAAGCATACTCACACACACATACACACACACACACACACACACACACACACACACACACACACACCAAAAAACAAAAAAACAAAAACAAAAAACCAAACACAAACAAACAAAAAACCATGTCCTGGGTTGACACACCTCAGTTAGCAAGAATAGTTAGCCAGAAGCAGAACTACAGAAGGCCACAAGCAAGGTTAGTCCATTTAGAGACTATCTTGATGGACTATGGACTTTGATGGATCAGGTCTTTGCTTTGGTTTTAGTGGGTGATGCTGTCTACGTGCTGAGTTATACAGCCTGAGTGGTACTTCCACCATGGAGTGGCTTATGCTGAGGTCTGGGGACTTCTTTTTACAGTAGTGATTTATGCTTTCTTTTAAATTAGACAAAAGGAAAAAAACTGTTGATAAGAGCACATGCATTCAGACGGAAAGAAATGAGGACATTTATGCTGAAACAGCTGAAATCTTTAGGCACCTGGCCTAAAGAAGGGAGTTTGATGTTCCTTTATAGGGCACGCAGAGCTCCGCCCAATCCCACCTCAGTTTTCACCTGGTCCCAAGATGTACCACCCTTCCCCTGCATGGCTTCCTCCCCCTCACTGTCCCTTACTCTCTAGGGTGCATTGCTGATCTCTCTTTAAGTAGCCAACACTCCTGCCTAAGCCTCACTCTAGGGCTTCCACTCGGCTCAGAGGCAGGGCTTCCTCAGGAGCAACCACAACACTACGTACTATTCTGAACCAATTCTACACACCAAAGGAGAATTTTGTGCCAGTTATTAGGGTGAGGGGAAAAGATCTTTTTTTGGTGATGTTTCATATAACTCTGTATTAATTTTCCACAGGAAAAAGTGTCTCCTATTTTCAAGTTTGAAGTTTTAAACATCATCCTCCTTAGGAATTTCAGTACCTAATCTGAAATGGTTTTCTTTCACCTGGAGACATGTTACCTGCTGTCTCGAAGGGTGAGAATAAAAAGGTAACACACAAGGGAAACAGCGGTGGGAAAGATGGCTTTTAGCCCATTCCTTCACAGTGGCTCAAGGTTCGGCACCCAGTACATGAGCTGAATGACTTCATTAGGGAATTCAAAGTCAAATAGATCCCTTTAAATATTTTAAAACACTAAAAAATACTCAGCATATAACCTTTAGAGGCACAGCTCCCACACCACTGCTGACATTTGTATGCTATGGGAACAGCCTTCTTAGTGTCATGGTACAGTTCTACCAAGCATGGATTCACCAGAGTGAGTCCAGGACAAAACAGGCCCGCAAACCCCAGCTGCATTAGCAGGTTCGTTCATTCGTTCACTTGACATATTCTGAAGCCCGTATTTAGTTCACACGTCATGATCTAAGAAGTAGCAGCAGCCCGGGTGTTGGTGTACACTTGTAATCTGAGTACTTGGGAGGTGTTTGCAGGAGAATGAGTTCAAGGCCATCCTCGGCTCCATAGTGAATTAGAAGCCATCCTGAAGTACATGAGGTCTGGTCTCATAACCAAACCAAGCTAATCAACCAATAAAATAAATCAAAAGAGCCTCTTCCCCCACCCCAAAGAAAACAAAACAGAAAGCCGAGTCAAAACCAAAACCCGCAATGCACTTGTCCTCTGTCTCAGATGTGAAAGGAACATTCTCTGAGCTATTGATGGATTGAAGGGAATGCGAAGAGTTCAGTATTAATGTTTTCTTCAAATGTATTTTGTGGGGCCAACCCAGGAGAGAGGAAGGTCTGCGCGGGGGTTGGGGAAGTGACTTCACACTTTTGATAACAGAAAGTCCTGTTATCACTGCAAACATCTAGCTATTGAGTGAAAAAGCGGGCGAAGTCAAATCGCTCTCACGTCACGTCTTACTCTCCCCAAGCCAAACTTTCTCCGTCAATCCCGGTAGGTCACTGGGGAAAAGCCGCAGAGAAGGAAACGCTGGCTTCGGCGGCAGTGTGTCGCCCAATTAATGTTGGTCTGGGAGTCACCTGAAGCCTTCGAGCTACTGCACCCAGGGAGCAAGCTTGCTTTTCAATTCGGTCATTTCCATGGGGAATTGCGGCACGCGCAGGTCCTGGGTGTGGCGATGTCGAGATGGAGCTCACATCTCCAGGCTTTCCACCTTCTGGCCAATCTACACAGCTGAGAGAACTACGGATGATACGGGCCTGCCTTCCTGCAACTCGGGAACCGCAAACGACCGCGACCCCGTGGCCACTGCCCGGTGCCAAAGCCAGGCTGCGCGCTCCGAGCGTGTGAGCTTCTCCCCAACCGGCTCTGCGCCGGGAGGCGGATCCCCTTCCCTGCGCACAAGTCCTTATATGCACCGGTTGCACCGGCCCGCCTTTACTCCAGCCCCACAAATAATTAATGGGGGACGGAGGACGCTGCTGTCTTTTCCCGCTGCCTCTCCTCACCACCCTTTTCACCCTTAGTGCATCTGAACCCAGTCAAGAAACCCCAAGATGCGATCGAAGGGCCATTTTGGTGCATTGCACAAATTGGACACATTAAAAAATAGCCTTCGGGTCCCTGCACAGTGAGGTTCAAGATCTGCTTTTCCGATTCAGCACTATTAACCCGCAAAAGCTGGGGCGGAAAGGGTGCGCGCCCCTCCCCCACCCTGGCTAGTGCAAAGGGACCCGGTCAGGAAGCGCGGCCTCTCCCCAGTCGGAGACCACGCCTCCTCCCCCCCACTCCTCCCAGGAAGCGGTGATAGACAGTTCTGTGTGGTTCTCCACCCCCAACCCCCCCAGCTGAGTGGAGGAGTTGATATGTCTCATTATAACAGCCAATGCAGCCGCCATCCACGCACAAGCAAAGAAGCATGTCCCATTTAAATACACCCACGCAGCCCCAGCGCCCTTAGCCGATCAGGGCGCGCAGCCCACACGCACCGCGGCTCCCGGCTTGGAGATCCGCGCAGGTCGGGCTCCGGGATCCCGCGGATCGACGCTCTCGGAAGATCGGGATCGGACTCTTGTGGGGCCCGGGTGGGCAGGGGAGGCTGGGCCCCGGGCCTCTCTGGCGGACAGCCGCATGAGGACGCGAGCGAAATAGACCAGGGTGGAATTGCCAAGGCAGACGCTTCGGGGTGGTTTGGTCCATTTCTCCCGCGAAGAGTCGACATGGCGAGCGACTCCCCAGCTCGCAGCCTGGATGAAATCGATCTCTCCGCCCTGAGGGTGAGCAGAACGTGTTTTTTCCTTTCTTTCCAATGGTCTGGGGCTGGGCGAGGGAACGTCCCCTGGCTTCCTGTCCTGATTCCGGGGCAGCGGATGGGGTTCTAGGCTGAGCCTCTACCCCTACAGCAGGGGCTGGGCTGCCCTTGTGCTCCTCGGCTCTTCCCGGGCTCCGCAAGGAAGCTGGTGGAGCTTATGTCAGTTTCGTCTTCGGTCGGTGTAAGAGAATTACATGAAAGGCGTGTGTGTGTGTGTGTGTGTGTGTGTGTGTGTGTGTGTGTGTGTGTGTGTGTGCATCCGAGCAACCGTCTCGTGCCAAGGCGCGAGACCCGACTGCTCCTGGATGCAAAAAGAATCTCCTCAAGAATAAAGGAACTGGCCCCTCAGGGGTTCCAGCTACCTGCAAGGTGCCATCGTGAGCCTAGCTGTCCCCACCAGCCGACCCTGCCGCTCCAAGGGACAATAATTGCTGTTCTGGGCAGGTCTGGTAGATGGCAACTGGCTCACCTCCCGGGTTCTGCCTCCCGTGCGAGGGCTCAGGCTCAGCGCTTCCCTAAACGCCAGTGTGCACTCACCTTTATCTGCGGTTTGAACTCAGCCCTGCCTATGCCTTTCTAACTCGGTGACTGTGACCTTTCAGTTTTATGGCTGAACTTCAGCAGGTGAAAGGGACGCTTTAGCTGCTTCTCCCCACCACACCGGAACTCCCTGGAGAGACTGTGTGTGCGTGTGCGTGGTGTGTGTGTGTGTGTGTGTGTGTGTGTGTGTGTGTGTGTGTCTCCCAGGTCTGTGACCAGTCCTTTGTAGAACACCTTCCCTTCCCCCAGCTCCGCTGCTTTGCCTTTACCTTCTCCTGAAACACCTCAGACGTCGTTCCATTGTATTGAATAAGACTTTAGTGATATAGAATCCATTTTGCTGTTGTTTGGAGATCATACTGCCAGGAATCCCACTGCAGCCTCGACGCTTCCCCACCCCCACCCCTAATCCCAGCACACTCCTTCGGGGAAGGGAGCCCAGCGTTCTTGCCATTTTAATTAGATGCTGCCTGCCAGGAAGGGGGTAAGGAGGGGTGGTGGCGGTGGCAGCATTCGGGATCTGAGGAAGATTGGACACCCTCTCCCGAACTAAAAATAAAATAAAGAGCAAATGCATATGCTTGATGCCCCGAGGGTAGGTGAGACTGAAGGCTGGTAGCTCACCGACTGCCAGGATGGGTGGAAGTTCAGTGGTCCTCCGGAACACACTGTTAGACTGATGCTCAGTCTTGGGGCTGTTTACCTGTGTCTCTTGCCCTTACCTCTTTCTCTACAGACATTTATAAATGCTACCTACCTACCTGTCTGATCGAAGTGGTACTTTTTCTTCAGGCTCTGCCCACACCTTGAATCCTTGGCCCTTTCCTTATCTTTTGGTCCAGAGAGACAAGGATTCAGAGAGGCAGTGCTCAGGTTGAGAACTGACTGCCCTTTGAAACGGGCTGCGGTGATAGCGGCAGCAAAAGCTCATTCATGCATGATTACAGTAAGCTGTCTGTTTCTCTAGAGACCGCCCGGAAGGCAGGCCACATCCAGAACCAGTGGGCAGCCCAGTGTGGGGGTTGGGAGCAGAGTGGGTGCTTTGGGCAAGTAAGTGTATGTGTGGCTCCCTCTTACCCACTGTGCTCTCTTTTACTCTCCTTCTGGCTGGGAGTTGCTGTGGGTGAGTTAATCAGGTGGACCAGTGGCCCAGACTTGGGGAAGAAGGAGTGGCTAAGAGGTAGACCTGAACAATGAGCCAGGCTTGTGATTTAGCTGAGCCAGAATCATAGCATCATTCTCCCTGACGTGATTTTTAAATTGGGGGGGGATTGGCTCCTGTGGGCAAGATTCTCTAAGATGCCAAGCACAGAAGCTGTCACCACACTCGGGGAGACCTGTGCCCTGCAATCTGTGTGTGGAGCAGGTATCTTTGCATGATTCCCTGGGATCCCTCTTTGTCACCCAGGAAGCTCAATGAACTCTCTGCCTGCACTGGGGTATGCAAAGAGCTAGGACTACAGCTCCTGGGGAGTCTGGGGAGCTGCTGCTGGAAGACTTATGCAGTTGGGCAGACACTTGTACTCAGCAGGCCTGAGAGCTTCAGGCAGTCTTGTGGTGGAGGAGGCCTGCAGATAGGTTTGTCTCCCAGGGCTAGTGGGTGGGCCACACACATCAGAGTGTAGATGGTGGCTGTCTCCCCAGATTTGGAGACCTTGATTCCTAAGCTTGCAGTAAAACCTGTAAGCGAGCACCTCCTGAGGAAAAGCCTGACCCCTGAAATGCAGGCAAGGTCAGTGAGTCAGCCTGTCAGCCCCTCCATGTTCCCGTGGCTCTTTAATGTATACAATCAATGCTCTTTGTAAACCCTGCGCTTGGGGGTTTAAAAGCAGCTCCTGTCTAGAGAGGCCTTTCCCCTTCTGACTTTGGGGACTCATTGTTCTCAGGCAGTGATCCCAGACTGGGCCCCGTCTAAAATTCCCCCAAATAAGAACAATGCATAATTCAAACCAGAGCAGCCAGTATCCCTATCACTTAACTCATGTAAGATTTGGGTGTTTGGGTTTTGTTGTTGTTGTTTGTTTGTTTTGTTTTGTGCGTGTGAAATGATGTGGGATCTTTCATTAGAAAACAGATCATCAGAATTCAACTTATTGAGTCCTCATCTCAGAGTTCATGAAGCTCAACTGAATCTTGGGTGTTGGGTAGAGATGGGTTCATAGATGAACGCTGGAAAAGAACTGGCCATTCCTCTCATGTGTCATCCGGGAGACTGAAGCCCAGAGAGGGGAAGTCTGTTGCCCAAGGTCACACAGCCAAAGGGGAGATAAAGCATCTGGAGGAGAGAATCTATGGTTCCTGACTCCTCAGTCTTCTCTCTAAGAGACATCATCTGTAGCTGAAAAGGAAATCAGTGACATGTCTTCTGCTTGGGGGTTGGGGGAGGGGGAAGCCAAGATAAGTCATTGGACCAGGGTCAAGGAATTTTTTTTTTTTTTCATAGAAGTGGACAACCTGGTAGAAGCAGAGAACTTATCAATGCAAGTGAGCAGAGCTATTAGGCACCTTTGGAATTTATCCTGTCCTGCCTTCTTTCAGTCCCTTCTTTGCGGGCAAATGGCGATCTAAATCATGTAGCACAGACGGTTGCCCTGCACAGATAGCCCCTCAGTAACCCATCTCCATCTGAACATGTCCCAGGGGTCCGTCCAGACATGCACATTATTCAGATGCCTCTGTGTGTGAGGTTTCTGGTGTTCATGCATGCTTTGTACGATCACTGTAGATGCGGATATTACATACAGTATTATGGACATAAACTGTCTATGTGGGTGTATGAAAATGTGTGTACATGCACTCTGACTACTGCAAACAATCCCCTATTCAGACCTGGGCTTGAGTCATGCCTGCTTGAGACATCCTTGGATTAGAAGATGAAATTATCCACCATGATGCGCGACTGCCTGTGAGGGGAGCTCAGCCAGAAAGCTTTGTGAAGATTATCATGTTTCTGGACTGGAGCACACTGGCTCTCCTCAGCTTGGCCCATGGTGTCAGACATTCAAGGTCAGGTGCTGATCCTGTACTTCCAGCTTGGAGCAGGACGCAGACACACTTTTCGGTTCGAACAGCGTGAGATGACTTACACCCACCTTTCTCCACCCCCTTGCCTTTCTGGCTTGGCCGTTCTCTGTCGTATTCCTCTCCTTCTCCCCTTATGTGTGTGCAGTGTAAGCATATGTGAGTTGGTACATGCATGTGCACAGGTGTCATGCATGTGTGTGTGCATGTGAATGCAGAGGCCACAGGTCAAGGTCGGGTGACATCCTCTAGTTTTCTGTACCTTTTTTTTTTTCAGTTAATTTTTTATGTATTCATGCATGCCAGTGCACCAAGTGCCTCAGAGGAGGCCAAAGGTGGATGTCTGATCCATAGAACTGGAATTAGAGATGGTTGTGAGTTGCCATGTGAGAATCACACCCAGGTCCTCCAAAGAGCTGTCGTCTCCCTTTCTACTCTCACTCGACCTGCAGCCTACTGATTGGGCAAGACTAGCTTGTCCCTAAGCCCCAGGAACCTTCCTATTTCCACCCTGCCTCCATGTCCATCACTGCCACAGACAGGTTTTTTTTTTTGTGTGTCGCTGCTGGGGATCCAAACTCAGGTCCTCATGCTTGTGTGGGAAGCACTTGACCAACTGAGTTGTCTCAGACCCTAACCATTTCTTCCTCCATCAAAACCCAAATTAAAAAATTGATCTCATTTGGAAAGCTTGCATGCATCTCTTGACTGCAGACTTCATACTTGTGTTATAAGGGGTGTGAGGTTCTCTTTTTGTCTCCTCACAAGAGGTTTGTTAAGGGCCATAGAGTCATTTGAATTTAGATGCCTCATTAGTTAAATAAATGACTGGATGACGGATGAATGAAGGGGTGAGTATATGCATGAATGAATGCATGAGTGAATGAGGTGGAATGATCACAAGTGTCCGGATTCTCTGTGCACATCCTATAAGTTCTGTGATTTGGGGCATGCCACTTAAGTGTCAGCAGCACAAAGATGGAAGGACAGCTGTTTGTCTTCATCCCCCTGGGGTCTAAAGTCAAAGACTCTATGGCAGAGCATTTAAATCACAAGGCAGCAAACAGATGTGTCATTAGATAGAACTTTATGGGAAACTCCAACTCACCAACATTTGATCCCAGTGACTGCGCCTGGTAGAAGATGCAGAAGGATGCTCTTTGTTTGTTTTTTGAGATGGGTTATTAAGATACAGCCAAGGATGGTGTGAAACTCACTCTGTAGCCTAGACTGGCCTTGAACTGTGAATACTCCTGCCTTACCTCCTGAGTGTTGGGATTACAGGCGTGTGCCCACCGTGTCTGGCTTAGAAGGCACATCATTTGAGTGTGTGAATGTGCATATGTGTCCATGCCTGTGGAGGCCAGAGGTTGATAACAGGTTTCTTCCTCAACTGTTCTTCAT